TCTCCCATTCTCGTATATTATGGTGATTTGAGATTGAGTAAATTCATTAGTCCAGCAGTCCCCAATCTTTCTGGCCCCAGGGACCAGTGCTCCTATGAGCATTTAATGTCTGATGATCTGAGGTGGAGCTGAGGCGATGATGCTAGCGCTGGGGAGCAGCTGTAAATACGGATGAAGCTTTGCTTGCTGGCCGCTCACCTCCTGAGGTGTGGCCCGGTTCCTAACAGGCCATGGACCGGTACTGGCCCAGGACCTGGGGACTGGGGATCCCTGCATTAGTCAATTCATTTTTGGCTGAGCACTTTGTACAATAGTCAAATGGTCTCACATGGTCAAAGTCAAAATGACAATCTAGTTAAAAATGCATCAGTCCCATTGGCTTGAGTACTGTACTAATGCCAAGGGTCTGATGACAGAAGAGTGCTGCAGTGGCAGCATAGCTCAGGTTAGTCACCTTAAAGTGGAGCCACTAGTCACTGAAGGGTAGGGTTTGAGGGTGCAAATAAATCCACATCAGCTCGCTCCTAGTTTTCATTTTTGTGAATATGAGGGATGCATCCAATTGATGTAATAGCCTCAAGTTTGTTTTTAAAACACAACATATTATTCGCTTAAATATTTATTGAGCATTTACTATGTTTCAGATACCATTCTAGGTGCTGGGATATAAGACAGAACAATGATCAAAATCCCTGCCTTTACATTCTAGTCAGAGGTTGGAAGGTGAGGGAGGGCACGCAATATATACAGTTGACCCTTAACGCCAATACGGAGGCAGGGAGGCGGGGGTTAGGGGTGCCCATCCTCCATGCAATCGAAAATAGCAACAGTTGGCCCCCAAATATGTAAATTCCCAGTTGTGGATCAAAAACATATAAGTAAATACAATATGTAAGGAAGTTAGTTTGCTTAGGAGCTATAGAAAAATAATGTAAAGGTAATAATGTGTCAAAGGAGCCCGTAGGGAAGTGGGCAGACCACAATTCCAAATAGAGTGTTTAGGATAGGGTACATATTTTAAAACAAAGATCAAGTTTGGCAGAGCTAAAAATCTATCAGCATTTGTTCAATATACAAGTTCTCTAACTGCATCTACTGGTAGAATCTAAATATCAGAACCCAAAAGACATTTTAAGTGACACTTCACTAGGCCACTACCAGTAGGCATTACAGTTCTGCCTAGACCTACCTTTCTGATCCACATGATTAAATCAAACCTTGATGCCAAGGCTAAGTTACTTAAAAATAGTAAGATAAAGATACAGACACTTACATAATATAGGACTATGAGGCAAGCGGTTTTGAGTATTTAACATACTTTAACTCATTAACAAAACCTTTTTCTTATAGAAATTTTATATATAGCATTAGAGAGAATAGTATCATGAATCCTACATGTGCATTACCAACCTTTAGCAAATAATGTTCTGCTATTCTTGCTTCATCTACCACTTTTCTTTAGGGATAGACACTGGGATAATGGAGTATTTTAAAGCAATCCCAGATATCCTGTTCATTTCACTCAAAAAGACTGCAGTCTACATTCTGAGAGAACAATTTTTTGAAGTGGTACAATACCACTGTCATATCCAATAAAATTAATAATTTCTCACTATCATCTAATACCTACTCCATATTTAATTGTCCCTATTTGCCCATCTTTTTACAACTGGTCTGATCTTATCAGGACCCAAATGAAGTCTACCACATTGGAATATATGTCTCTTACACCTTTTACTTATTATAATAGTCCTCCTTCCTGTTTTTGTTTTTTTTTTCCTCCCTTTATAGATGCTCCCTTATCCCAAATTTGGTTTTTATCCTAGCATTGTTTTTTCTATTCCTATGTGCTGTGTATTCCCTGTAAATGTTGGTTACATCTAGAGGCTACACAGAGTCAGATTCGATGTTTGCGTGTGTATGAGGGGCGAGGAGAAGCAAGATACTTTATAGGTGGTTCTGCGCATTTCTTTTTATATCACAACGGAAGCGTCTAAGTGTCTGGCTATTCTACTTTTAATGACTGAGCAAAGGGTTCCGTTATTATCAGCCTGATCCATCCCTTACCAAGTTCCCCAAAGCTCTCCCTAGCATCCTTCACAACAGTGCAATGAGGCAGGCACTACTATTACCTTCACAGTAGTCAAGCATTTGCCTACTTAATGGAAGCAGGTTCTGAAAACCTGAAGCATCCAACCCACAATGAGGCCTGCACCTGAGGTCAAATAGACCCTTTCCCACCTTTCTAATTCCTGAAGCACTCCCATAGTGCCCTTTGGAACTCATAGTTAGACATCAGCAAAAAAGCCATGTATTCTCAACTTCTCCAAGTGTTCTCTTTTCCTTAATCCATTTAAACTCTAGCTCTCCTGAGGGTACTATTAAAAAAAAACCCCTTATTTTCATGTCTTCAGACACCACTTACTTCCCCTTCCATGTTGCAGGCATTGATGCTACTCCCTCTTTCTAACCACTTCCCCACTCCCTGAAGATTTAAGCATGTCTCTCACTGACACTCTAAAACTAGGCCTGTGCTGACACAGATGGCTTTTCCAAAACCTTGGCTTCAGTTCCCTGACCTTCTGGCCTTCAAAGCTTTTGTCTGCCACTCTACTGCAGCCACTCACACCATGGCTGTACCCTAGACATTACCACCAAGGGCGAGCCTCTATAAGTACAACTTTACACATCCCATTCTCTGGCCTCCTGTCTCTCCAACTTATGCTCTTTAGCATCCAGACTCCAACAATTCTTTGGCCATAAGGACCTGCCATATTTTTCACTGACAAACTTATAACCCCATGACAGCTATACACTGAATTTATAAAGGCTAAAATTTCACCCAAAGAAGATAATCAGCTTTTAAACAAAACTAGTAAGTAGCATTGATATAAAACATGGAAACTCCTCAGAGATCTAGAAACAGCCCTGCTTACACATTAGATGACATACTTATCATTCTGAAAAAAAAAAGGAGAGAAAAAGAATTTTGTGACTGTGTGGCTATATGAGGGCGACCTCCTCACAATCACGGCCTGCCGGGATATGGATAACAAAAAATGAAGGAAAGATGAAAACCAGTCAAGAATACTACAAATTCATGTCTCAGTTCTTCAAATTCAAGCCCAGAGGTTTCTGCAATACTGTCAACCAGGACTAAGATCTCTGGAGAACACAGATGCAAGAAAGGCATCTTTTCCTTTGGAAACTAGCTGAAATGATTTGTTACCTGACATTACAATTTCCCCTGAAACATTTATAAAAGCTTTTATGTCCAAGGCAACACAAACCCAAAAGATATGGAAGTTAAAAACTCTAACCAAAATATAGGGAATACAATAACCTAATCCAATTTACGAGACAGAAAGGGAAGAGCTCTTGCTTTACCATCACTAACGGTTGAAAACCTATCCATTTGATGTGGTCACAAAACATCTTCATGGAAAACTATACTTTAAGGAGTAGAATTTGCTTCAGCTGCTGATCCTTACAACTCTTTCATCGTCAAAAAGTAAACCCCAGAAATCAAAGCTTGATTGTTCACAGTACTTATTTACTATGTGTATACACAACTAAAAATTAGAAAACCAGTCAAGCTTTTGAAAATGAAAAGGATTTTTAGTTATGCTGTCAGAGTCCATGGCTTTGCGATGTCCTTACACTGAATTTTTACCAGCTTCTAAAAGAACTTTTTTCTAACTCATTTGCTGGGCCAACAGGTTAATGAAATCACAGCCACGAAACAGGATAGGCCTACACCCAAAAAAAACAGCAAGCTGCTTGCACTGAATTCAACAAAACGCTTATGAAAAGTGGAGATCTTGTCAAATAACTTAGTACCAAATTATAAAATTTTTCAATCTCTTGAGTCCACCTTCAAGTTATAAAGCTGAAGAAAACTTGACGTCAGCCCTGAACCATGGTTCACACTTGATCAGACCTAGGCAAAAAGCTGCCATAGGTCCCATTTCTTCACTCCAAGGCCATGCTCAAACGCTGGAGTTTCTGGGCCAGTGAAATTTTTCTTCCTAAACTGTTTCCTCAAAGGAAGAAGAAGAACTAGAGCAACACAGGAAATAACTGATTTTGTGCTTCAAAGAAATTATTCAAATTTCTCACTGTAAACTTTTAGAAACACCTGCATTATTTGGAGGGACTAGAAAAATCAACAAAATATTACAGAAAATTGATACATCTAACAATTGACAAAATTATGTCCCAGCTTTTGGGCCAAGAGACCCAAACCTCATCTCTCCAAATGTAGAGTAACTGTACAACCAATAATCCATGGACATAAAACCTAACTGTCAAGTACTTAATATTCCATTGCAATAAGCAAGTGGCCCTGTAAGTTTACCTAATAGGCTCCTTCTTCCAAGCCTCCTGGTAGGGGACAGAATTAAGGGAAACATAGTTTCGGACAAGTTTGGCAAGAATACTATCAGTGGTTTCTACTCCGCCACAGCCTACGGTCCAGAATCCAAACAGGGAAGCAGCCACATCAGCAAGAGAGTTATGAGAAAATTGTTCCTCAAATTAGAATCCTCCACTGTCCCAAATCTGGCATTTTACAAGCCACTTCCTTCTGGCAGCAATGTAAACGAGAATGAATTGTCCCTAAATCCTACTGACACTACTTTTGCCCAAGTCAAATTGATACAACTTAGAACTGCATTAGATTCACAAAAAGATAGCTCTGAGGAGCTTGACCACCTATTTCGATTACACCTTGTCAGAGTAAGACCAAACCAATACAAGAACTGGAAGATCTTGAAGATAAAATCCCCCAAAGCATACAGGATTGCTAAATTTGTTTTGTATTCTCTTTGGTTAGAGAGGTGACTATTGTGTTTCATTGAAATCATATTTTGAAATTTTTTAGTCAGGAAGGGAAGATTCTATGAACGTAACAAACTTAATTTTAACAGCTCAGTTGACACTCCCATATCCCCACCCTCCAATAACCCACCAACTCCCAAACAAGCAGATGCAAGCTTTAATTCAAGGGAAACTAAGTTTATTTATAGAAATTGTTTCTGATGCAAGGGCTAAAATAGGCATTTCCAATATAAAGTATATGGTAAAAATACATGATCATTTCTTTCAACATTTGTGTTTCGTTACGATCTCACCTTTATTCCCTCCCCCCACAAACCTGCTCTACCCACAATCCTTTCAAATACAGTAAGTGGCAGTACCAAGTCTCTCAGTTGCTTAGGTCATACACCCTTATATCATCCTTTGCTCTCCATGGTCTTCATACATTCCCTAGCACATCCACTGCACTCCATCTTTTTATTCTATTTAGAATGCAATCACTCCCATGGGTTACTACAATAAATATCCAACTGGTCTCCCACCCTTGCTTCCAAGTCAATTCTCCAGAGGCCAGAGTAATAGTGATCCTTTCAAAACAGAAAGCAGATTATTATCATTCCTCTGCTCAAAACCCTCCAACAGCCTAACATCAACTGATTTCATCTGTTTTCTCCCATGGTTATGACACTCTAGCCTTTTGTTTCTGGAACATTTCAGGCATATTTCTGCCTCAGGGCCTTTGCACTTCCTGTTTGCTTTGCCTAGAATCCTGTTCTCTCCTGATATGCACAACTCGTACTTTTCAAGTAGTTGCTCAAATATAGCTTCTCGGTGTGGTCTATTTTGAAACTGCAAACTCATACCTACCTAGGCATTCTCTCGTCTCTGCAATATTTCTCTGCAGAATTTATCACCTGCTGGTACACTGTTTTTTACCTATTTTGTTTAATGTCTTCCTATTAAAGGGTAAACTATCTAAAAGTAGTAATTTTTGTTTTATTTACCGCTGTATCCCCAGCACCCAAAATACGCAAATATTTGATGAATGAATGAAAATGCCAAATAGTTGAACATGAAAAAGCTTATAAACTGGGAGGTCCTAGCTCAAATAAGAATATTAAAGATGAAGAGTGAGTGCCTGATAAATTATCATCTATACACACAGAACAAATTGCAATGAATGATTACATTAACAGCCAACTGAATTCTCTTACAAGTGAAACTCCCTTTTACAGAAACCATGGCCTTATAATCAAATGATTTCAGATGGGTCTTTGGCATGTACAAACAAAGCAAAAAAGAATTTGCCCAACTTTGTTCAAAGTGCCTTTATACTTACATAAAGGTTGTGGATGTTAATTACATTTAAACATTTAAGATGCTTCAAAAACATATTGGAGGAGAAAAAATATATTAAAAAACTGTACAAAGTTCTTCATTAAAATAGCTTAAATAAACCCTCTCTCAATACCAGAGAGAGCCAGTGACAGAATGTGAACAACAGAGCTTAGAGTTTTTTACATAATTACATGAAAACACTTGAATCAGTCTCCATAGACATTGCCATAATAATCATTTGGTTAAAATCAATATATCATCTTCCAGATGCAGTTTAGAGTGCAGGCAAGAAAAGTAACTGATGAAAAATTACTGTATATAATATAGTTCTGATTCTATTTGCCCTTTTTTGTCTTGGCTGTCTTCTCCTTTCTTTTTTTCACATGTTTAGGAATTTTGTTTTTTCTTTTCTCCCGCTGGGCTTCTTTGACCATCTTTTTTCTTTCCTGTAAAACAAAAATTTTAAAAATCTGTGAAATACAGATAGAAGTAAAAGACTTATTTGAATAATTTCACAGCTGTTTACCTATGAATTGAATTTCAAGTAACGCTTATTATTAATCCAATCAAAAGAGAAGACAATATTTATACTAAAGAAATTTTAGTCTATAGCTGTGCCACCCTGAACGTGCTTGATCTCATCTGTTCTCAGAAGCTAAGCAGGGTCGGGCCCGGTTAGTGCTTGGATGAAAGACCAACTAGGAAGACCAGGTGCTGTATGTGTTAAAAAAAAAAAAATAATTAATTTTTTTCCTGAAGTCTAGCAGTTTTTACAGCAGCAGGAAGCACGATGAGGTTTTAAAAGATGAGGTTTTCTTCTCATAAGAAAATTCCATTCATTTGGAATATTCAGATTATTGCTACAATTAAATAAAAAGATATACGTAAAAGGATAAAATGTATAACATGAAAAAAAATGATTATGGTTTGGTGGTAAAATTTGGGGTGAAAATTGTCTTTAAAGTATCTTAATAGAAATTTGAAGAAAGCAAAATAGAAGTATCCATTAAGATGTTTACAACTACTTTTCTTTGTAAGTTTCATATTCTAATAGAATATAAAGTTGGAAAAAGACAAAATACTTATTTCCAGTAGAGAAAGAGAGAAATTGTAATAACAAGTTGGGTATGTATCACGTAAGTCTTAAGACCCACACTTTACAAGATTTAAAGGATTAAGCTAAGAATGAAGAATAATAGTTACAAAGCTATCATGCGTCACTCAATCAGTAGTATCTCTTCTGTCTATAGCTAGGTGGGGAAGAAATAGTCTTTTAGATTCTATAAACACTGGGCTGGGCTGTAAATCCCCCCTCTTCAGTATTTCACCATGGGGCAACTCCAACATCATTTGTATTTCAAGTGAATGACAATCATTTTGAATCAATGTACTGAATATAGTGTGTCCTCTCCCTGGGCAGTGCCCAAGGAGCTCCTTACAGAAGCCCAGTCTCTAATGTTACCACCAAAAGCAAAGTTCATGCTTAGGAACTGAAACTACAATTAGAGGTACTTACTAACCACTCATGTTTTCACCCACCATAATCTAGATACTTGAGCAAACAGATATGAGAGTGGCTATGCTGCCATGTTAAATAACAAGGGAGTTTGTGTTCTTAGCTAACCTTTTTATCAACGTCAAGGTCAGTGGTGGGTTTCCTGATGCAGGCATGGTCTCCCTGCTCTTCAGAATCTGTATCAGAACACTCAAAGCTTCCAGCGTCTTCTGAATCAGAACAAGTCTTTTCCTTAACTTGATTTTCTAGGAGTGCAGGGACCTTGAAAGTATTACAGAATCATGTTATTCTAAACCAGTTATCTATTGTTATTAAATGAGTTAATGCCAGAATTCAGATTTTACTCTTGCAGATATACTTTGAAAAACAAGAGCCTATACTGAAACATCGAAAAAGCAGAATGAATATGAGGGAGAAAGCCTGGAGCAGCCATTCCAATAAGGCTTAAGAACGTACCCAAATAAAGAAACTGGGGCTTTACTGGGCGACCTAGAGCAATGACAGAAATGTACTACTCCAGCAAAGAAAAAAGGGAAAGAGGCTGAGTTGGGATTTTGAAATACAGTCCTGCACTGCCCAGCAATGGGAGATACGCTCTGACATGTGCATCATTAGGTGATTTCATCATTGTGTGAACACGGAGAGTGCACTTACACAAATCTAGATGGTACAGCCTATAACTGTAATTGTATGTGCTATACTTTTATACAACTGTTAGCATGGTAGGTTTATTTACACCAGCACCACCACAAACACATGAGTAATGTGTTGCACTATGACACTGCTATGTCACTGGGCAATAGGAATTCTCCGGCTCCATTATAATCTTACGGGACCACAATCATACATGCAGTCTATCGTTGACTGAAATGCTATTATATGGGATGACTGTGAAATACAGACAGAATAAAAACTACTTATTTGGATAACTTCACAGCTGTTTTTCTATGAATCAAATTTCAAGTAACATTTATTGTTAATCTCATCAAGAGGGAAGACAATATTTAAACAAAAGAAATGTTCATTTTTCCCCTAAAGTTTAGAAGTTTCTAAAGCAGCAGGAAGCACTTTTTAAAAGATGAGGTTTTCTTTTTATAAGGAAAAAAAACAAACATTTAAAAGGCAATTGTACAAAAAGGTTTCCTAGCCAGTTTTTAACAAAATACTCATACTCTAGAATTCAAAGCACAACTGCCCTATTATACCTATTATATCTATAATTCAGAAATGCAAAATACCAGAATTTTCCTAGTTCTTCCCATAAAAGACACAGTAAATTTTCATAAAGTAAACTGATCCTTCATGTTTAAGTCTTTAATTAAAAACATTAAAAGAAATAAGAACCACCTTTATTGTTGGTTAAATTAGAAATAATCCCTACTGTTCTAAAATGTAAAACAAAACAAGATTGTTTAAAGAAAAAACATTACAGGAATCCAGTACTATGAGACTGCTAAACTCATGAGATTGCTCTTCATACGTACCAGTATGAGACTAGATTCCATTTTTTTTTTAAAGCTAGTTGTAAAAACATCAAGAAGTACATGGTTATCATTAATAACTTCGCAAATGAAGACCAGGATACAAAAAGGATCAATGCCTCAGCTACAATAACAGAACAATTCAGAGGCAGAATGAAAAATAAACCATAAATTTCCATATTTCAGTCTTATGGTTAAGAATTAACACAAAGATGGCATTTCTGAAAAATGCCCATGGACTTTGAATGATCTATACTAACGACTAGATCAATGTGAATTTAATTCTAATAATACCTTACATTAAATTTTATACCCTTTAGAAGAGTTTTCACATAAACAAACAGCAACACATGTTCTTCATACCTTCTGAACACCTGACAAATCTTTCTTCAATCCTGTGACGGTTTGGTATAGAATCTTGTAACCAAAAAGAAAAAAAGAAAAATCAGCATAAAACTAGACAAGAAAATAACACACTCTAATATTAAGAAAGAACACTGTAGGCTAAATGATATTTTGTGGGATTATAAAAAGGTGCCTAAAATTTATCTTATAGTAACAAAGAAAAGTTTAAAATGTAGGTGTTATTCTTGTCCACCAAGCATACAGGCATCAACAAACTCTAACCCACAAGCCAAATCTAACCCCCAGCCTAATGGTTTTTACTGATGAACATTTGCAATCAATTTGATGATGGAAAATTCTAACTTTAAATCTCAATTAAATAAAATGTATTCTCCTCCCCAAAATAACTCCATCTCTCTCTCATTAGTAGACCTGTATAATGAAAAGTTACATTCAATTACTAAAATGTTTTTAAATTTCATCAATAAAAATTTAGAAGTTTTTTTCTCTTTTTTATATAATAGCCTACATAACAGTCTTAATTCTGTTTCTTGGCATGCAAAGCCTAAACTATTTACTACCGGCTCGTTAACAGAAAAAATTTTCTGGATCCTGAAATATGTATATTAATGAATCTAGTATAATAACCATTTATATACTCGACTTCTATACAAATCTTCCTTTTTCTGAAATTATAGTCTGTTGGATTCATTCAAATAAATCAATTCCTTTCATAAACACTAATGAATTCCCTTAACATCCAACATGCACAAAGGACATGTCAATACTAAGAGAATCAACCATCTCACTAGATCAGAAACCAACATTCAAGATCACAGGTTTGGGATGAAAGCTTCCTTTGTAAACTTGCTTGCTATATACAGACCAAGCCACTCACATTGTCTTGTTGGGCATTCATGGCCATGTCTTCTTCCTTCAATTTCATCATTATATCCATGTCCCTCTCATAATTTTTTACTTCAGTCAAGGTTCTAGGGATATATGCTCGCTTAAACACCTAACAAACACAGAAGAAAAGTAAAATTGAAACTGTTATTCACATACTTCTCACATTTGCTTAGCATTCTCACCCTCCTTCAGTCATAAAAAAATCTATCCCTATCATCTACAACACTGGTTCTCAGCCAGCCTGTCTGCACACACTGGTGTTGCATCTGCTGTACACTGTTTCAAAGTAATTTGTTATCAAAGAGAAACTAAATATGTTTTAAGGTTACCCTGACAATAATACTTCTCTCTTCTCGTTTGCATTCCAAAAAAGTTTTTCCAAGTGGGAAAGGAATGGAGTTGCCTGGCTGTGCCTTACAAAGGAATATGTTCTAATATGTTATAACTGTGCTATAGTAAAGAAAGGTTCAGAACTGCTGTGAAATATAGGGTACCTTATATTCATCCATCACACTGATAGCTATGAGAATTAAAGAAAAAAAGCCAACTATGGATCACCTTCACAAAAAATACACTGATTCCTAAGATTAAAATAAGTTTTCTTTTTTACCAAACATAAATATTTAAAATCTACAATGTTACTGAAATCAACATTTAAATCATTTAAAAATTCACATTTGCAAACTAAAACAGGCTTTTTCTTCTTGAATCATATACTCCAATAGGTGCTTTAAAATCTTCTCCATGTAGGGCAATGGGCTAATAGGTGGCTGAGTGGAATGACATAACAGAATGTAACTTATACAACAATTATGTAACATATTACATCCCCAGGAAATATCATCATTAAAAAGAACTGCTTATTAAAATCAAATTCATGCCTAAACATTAAAAAAAACTAGAAATACAAGTGTTTCCTAAGACTGTGATTAGATAATAAATCTTACCTCTTCATCCACATGATCTTGGCTGGACCTTTCTTCCTTAGTCCTTTGAGATGCTATTTCCATGGCCTTGGAAAGAAAACAAAAATTACTTTCCTTCGCATTTGACCTATAGAATATACATCCACTTTCCAATTTTAGTATACACCTGCTGCAATCTTTGTTGGTATCACCTCTTCCCACTCCTGAAAGAAAGGACTTGGCGTCCTCTAGCGGTCAGGTTAGCTCTCCATGTTGGACTTCACCAAAAAGGTTACCAGCAACCCCAAAGAAAACGAATAAATCAAACTCATCTAGCCTCAGGGGATCCCTAGCTTTTTCCTCAAAAGTAGTACTACTTTTACTAATTTTTAAATGATTAGCAAAAATATTTACTAAAGAAAAACTGAGACCCAAAGAATTAAAGAACCATTCCTTAATTCTTGAGCAGTCAATGAATGGAATCGAAGAATACATGAGTATATGGCTCTAATCTTGTTGGCCAGTATAAACTACCAAAAACAGCAATTTGAGCAAACAATGACTAAGACTAAGAATGTGACAAAGATTCTATAGGATTCTTCTGTCTTGTACAATTGTAAAACTAAAGATTTGTTCTCTGCTCTATTCGGAATATACAGAAAGAAGGAAAGAACAGTGGTACTAGGTACCTTTTAAGGCCAGACACTAAAATTAGTGTTAGAGATTTTAGGAATAAAAATGATGTGATATTTATTCATCACCATATGTGATTACTTACCATTGCCAGGTACTGATTAGGTACTAGCAATACAAGAATAAAACTCCTGTCCCTTAAGAGTTCACAGTCTAGTAGAGGGTGACAAAATTTTTAAAAACTTAACATAATAAGAAGTGATACAGTGATTACTTCTATTATAGAGTTATAACATGAAAATACAGTTGGCCCTCCATATCCGTATATCTGTATCTATACATGTATCTGTATCCTTCTCCGTGTATCTGTATCTGCAGATTCTGCATCCCCAGATTCAATCAACTTTGGATAGAAAATATTCAAAAAAAAGTGTTACATTGTTGCTGACATGTACTACATAGTTAGGCCTATGATGGCTGCATCTGTACGATACATGCACAAACTTTTTTCTTGTCATTATTTCCTAAGCAATACAGTAAAACAACTATTTACATCATAATAGAAAGTATAAGTATCTCTAGAGCTGTGTATAGTTACATGCAAATACTATGCCATTTCATACAAAGGAATTGAGCATCCTCAGATTTTGGTATCCTCTGGGGGATCCTGGAACCAACCCTCCTCAGATACTGAGGGATGACTGTACGCCTTTGGAAATAATTATTTCTGCCTAATTTCTCCATGAGACAGTTTTGAAGAGGAAACTTGGGGAATTTCATTAAAAACTAACCAGCTTTCTATTTGGCTTCTGTAAATATGCTTGTTTTCTGCAAAGCAGCGCAAGCAGGCAAGAGCTCACTTGCACTCTGCTCGATCTGCAAATGTAACTGTTTGTACCTTTGCTCCACGAATATAACTGTTTATGCCCCAAGCAGCACCAGCCTCTTGTAGCACTTTGTACCCTGGCAGCTCCCACTTCCTATAACACCTTGTACTGGCTCGTAATCCATAACTCCTGCCCTTCTGCCAATGTTACTACTTGCAACCATAGCAACTCCCTCCGCTTTGTATCTAGGTTTGAATAAACCAATCAGCTTGCGTAAAAACCCTGCATATAAGGAATGTTGCCACTGAGCACATTGCCCAGATCTTCAGAACACTAGCTCCTCTGGGACCACGCATAATAAATTTGAGTTCTCTATCTCTCTGAGTTACTGCTTGGTTTTCCCTGGACTGGTTTTGGGATTTTTCTACAACACTTTCTGAACAGAGCTTTAAAGGTGACTAGATCAGCGGTCCCCAACCATTTTGGCACCAGGCATCGGTGCTCCTATGAGAATCTAATGCCTGATGATCTGAGGTGGAGCTGAGGTGGAGCTGAGGTGGTGATGCTAGCACTGGGGAACGGCTGCAAAAACAGATGAAGCTTCACTCAGTAGCCTGCTGCTCACCTCCTGCTGTGCGGCCCCCTTCACTAGACAAAGCAAGATGAGCAAAGATAGAAATGGAAGGCATTCCAGGCAAAGGGGAAAATATAAAAAGGTATGATAAAACCCGAAAACCTCTGTAGGGACATACATGGCATCTGTTCAACATTCTACGATTTAGAGGTAACAAAAGAAAAACCGGACATTAAAATAAATAACTTCTGTGCATCAAATGATGCAATCGACAGAGTGAAAAGACAGCCTATGGAATGGGAGAAAAAATTTACAAATCATATTTAATAAGTGGTTAATATTCAGAATATGTAAAGAACTCCTTTAACAAGAAAAAATCTGATTAAAAATGGACAAAAGACTTCAACAGACATTTCTCCAAAGATATACAAATGTCCAACAAGCACGTGAAAAGATGCTAAATATCATCATCATACAGAAATGTATGTCAAATCTATGAGACACCACCTCACACCCATCAAGATAGCTACTCGAAAAAAACAAAACAAAAAACCCCACAAAAATAAAACAAAACCAGAAAACAACAAGGGTTTTCAAGAATGTGAAAATGTGGAAAAATAGGAACCCTTGCGCATTGTTAATAGAAATGTAAAATGGTACAGTCACTAAGAAAAGCAGTATGGCTGTTACTCAAAAAATTAAAGGTAGAACTACCATATGACCCAGGAATTCCTCTTTTGATTATACATCGAAATAAACTGAAAGCAGGGTCTTGAAGAGAGATTTGTATACCCATGTTCATAGTAGCATTATTCACAACAGCCAAATGTGATATATATATACAGTGGAATTATTATTCAGTGTTCGAAAGGAAAGAAATTCTGACATATGCGATACCATGAATGAACTTTGAGGACATTATACTAAATGACATATGTCGGCCAGAAGAAGACAAATAGTGTATGATTCCACTTGTATGAGGTATCTAGAGTAGGAAACATCATAGGCAGAAAGCAGAATGGGCTGGGGGAAGAGAGAAATGGGGAGTTAGTGTTTAATGAGTATAGAGTTTGTGTCACAAGATGAACAAGTTCTGTGCATGGATCGTGGTAATAGTTACACAACAATGCAAATGTACTTAATACCATTGAACTGTCCACTTAAAACTGATTAAAATGGTAAAATTTATGCTTTGTATATTTTACCACAATTTTAAAAATTCTGATTTAGAAAGGCCTCTGAGAAACAAAGGAAAAGAATTAATGATCAAAGCTAATAACAGGTTTCTTACTAAACATTCATGAATTTTGACAGTCTATATAATCTTCCCTGATGATTAAAGTCAAAAAACCTGGCTTCACCACTGGCTTTTTACTATATTTTTGATTTCCCATCTGTGAAATCAGAAAGAAAAGGTCTCAGAAAGCTGTCAAAGTAAACAAAAAATTTTGAGTCCCTCAGAAATGCTACATAAGTGCAAATTTTTGAGTCCCTCAGAAATGCCACATAAATGCAAATAACTACTACTATATTGTTTTTCTCCCCTTTCTTGCCCCATCTCACCTTTGAGAGATAAGCATCCATGTTCTCTTGTGTAATTGATGGATCTGTGACAAATTCAAAGAGCTCCCGCACAGTCATCACAGCAACACTGCGCTTCAAAAAGAAATCTGTCAGAAGGAAAACATCAATGATAGCTTTACAAGGGAAAAGGTTATTATTCCAACAATTTTACAGAGAAACAAAGAAATAAAAATATACCTGCTCCCAGAAAACAGTGTTAAGTATCACTGCATCAAACGATTTAGTGCCAAGATTTTATATCAACAGCTTAACAGAGTAACAAACCAACACACACAATCAAGCTTGTAGAAAATTCCAGTTTCCACTCACCATTGACATTGGCACAGTCTTTCCTCAAGAATTCCAAAGCATGTGGGTGGTCATGCTCCACAGACTGAGAAACATCAATGATGTACACACCTCCACCACTGTACCTGTGGGCCAGATGAGCAGAGACTGTGAGGCACGTCAGTGACGGACACACTTCCTCAATGGTGCCATGAGGACCAGACATGGGGGGACTACGGGATACTACTACTTCTCTACATTTTTTGTTTAAAAAATTCTATTTTAAGAGCAAGGTAAATAATTTACAAAATAAACAAGGTGGGTATGGAGAAAAGGCCACTTTGACTAACAAAAGGTAAAAATTTCCAAAGTCCTATATGATCATAGTGCTCGAATCAATGACTAAAGTCACCAAAGGCAGGAAACATCCTATATTGTGACCACATGAAAGCCAACTTTAAACTTTAGAATTTAGTATGACATCTTGGATTGGGATTTTATTTTTTTAAAGGGCATGAAATGACATATGGGAGCTTCCTAAGAGACAAAACATACTCACAGCATGTTAAATTCACTGAGATCTGCATGGACAAGTCTGGCATCCTGATACATTCTTCTCATGTATTGAATGACCTGCAGGTACAACTCCCGAGCCTTGGATTCTGATAACTGGATATTTTTCAAAAGTGGTGCTGGCCTTGAATAAAAATAAAGTGAATAATTAAGATAAAGTGACCCAGAACAAATGTTCTTGCTTTACGCTACATCGTTACATGCACTTCTCTTCTACAACTTATAACTGAACAATCTGAGTCACTACAGATGTACCATTGCAAGAAGTTGTCAAAAAAGAGGTGCTCCCCAGCTCACTATAGAAAAGATTCCTCAAAAGCAGGGTGAACTTTGTTTTTCTGAAGCATTTTGAGACTTTAAAAGGTAGAATAAATTAACAACTCTATGCACTAATATAATAGAGTCATAAAAAATATTCCAAGATGAAAGAAGTTATTTAAATACTAAATATTTATATACTGGATAATTTAGAGCACTTAAAAATATAATTCTGAGCACATAATCATTAGGCCTCACACATACTCACATATCATCTTTACCAATGAAACTCATGACAAGAACGTGACTTCTTAGCAGGATAGGTTCTGGGCATGGGATCCCTGCTGTGTTTAGCCTGTGATATTAAAACAGATAAAAGGACAAATAAAAAGTCGAAACAGCATCTAAAACAAATTACAACAGCTATAATACACAAGATTAATACTGCTGTTAGGAAACAGCACCAGGGCCTCTCAATTGTATTACTATAGTTCATAAAATCTAAGACACCCTTGATTTTAAGTAGCACCACTATGCACTTCCAAGAATGACAAAACACTGGCAATTCAACTACCATATCCCATAGCCTCTAACACTTAATCTGATTCCAGAGATGTTAAACTGTGAAAAAAATGTGCATCTTAAAGTTGATGAGATACCACAGATATGTATGCAATTACCTTTCAAGTTAATGAGCCTGAACAACAATTAATAAAAATAGTTGGACTCATATGTAACACCTAACTGAGCACAAGATTTCAGAAGGACTTTCTTTGTTTTTTGGTGAGGGTGAGGGGTGAGTCTGAGAAATTTATTTTTCAATTTTTTTTTTCAATTTATTATTTTATATTAGTTTCAGATATACAGCATAGTGGTTAGACATTTATATAATTTAAGAAATGACCCCCCCGCCCCACGAGTCTAGCACTCCTGGCACTATATTTATTACAATATTATTGACTATATTCCCTATGCTGTACTTCACATCCCTATAACTACGTAAGTACCAATTTGTACTTCTTAATCTCTTCACCTTTTTTCCAACACCCCTCTCATCTCGCAATCACCAGTTTGTTTCTCTGTATCTAATAAGTCTGTTTACATTTTGGTTGTCCATTTTGTTTTTTAGATTCCACATATAAATGAGATTATACTATATCTGTCTTTCTCTGACTTATTTCACTTAGCATAATACCTTTTAGGTGCATCCATGTTGCTGTAAATGGGATGATTTCATTTTTCTTTTTATGGCTGAGTAGTATTTCCAGAAGGACTTTCAAAACAAGTAGCAGTACTTGCTTAATACTAATATATTCAGTGTATGTCACCTATGCACAGCACAATAAAGCTTCAAATTTTTGAGGAAACAATCTCAGCTAGGTAAGATGCCTTTAACTGATACAAAGGTGTCAGTGCAAACAAATGCATAAACGTGTCCACACTGGACTGAAATAAAGGAAACTGATAAAGAGTTTAGGATTTAACAAAATTGTCTAAAACTCCAATACCTATTTAAAAAATGACACAGCATTCTCGCCACCTGATTAAGTCGCTTCCCTACTTAAAATCCTGTAACAACTCCTTCTCGTCCTTAGTTTAAATTCTAAGTGTTTTCGTATGCCTTCCAAAAGCTCTTTAAATGACCCAGCCTTGCTGAATAAATGTGAATTATGGCAGAAGTCTTCTGTAATGGGTTCTTTAAACACAGAAGATAAGGTAGCTCCTACTTGTCCAGAAATTTGCTGCTTCTGCTTACCTTAGCAGATCTAATGGAACTGAATAGCCCTGCCACGCCCCTGTCTTTGGACAGAACCACACTGGCATCTGCCGGTAGGAAAGAGCTATAAGCAATGTGCAGGGCACTACACAGACACACACCCCAAACAGTCACCTGATCAAGTTCCTCATTTCTTTTTCTGCCCAAGTTTTCACCATTTTTCTGGGGTTTCCTTTACAATAGCCATGACGAAATCTGGAACAAGAAAAGTATTTGTCATTTGAATCATTCCATTATTCTAGTTTTAATTTTTTAGGATACAGAAATTAAGCCAATTAGAAAAAAATCTGAGCTCACCTGAATTCCCCACTTACATACTTATCCCGATCTTTGAACACCAAAATAGAAGTTTTATAAATTTTGATTGCTCTGCTCTCTCCACTGGCTGTGCTAGCATGGTATACATTAGCCTAATTTAAGTTAAAAACAAAGAAAATTAAGTTTGTGTTAAATAACTACAAATAGTATCTCACTTTTTCAATCTACTTGATTCTATTCTCAAAAGTGAAAAGTGAACGGAAATAACATGCATAAGGAAAACCATCATCCTTTGAATGTGAATTAAAATATGAAACATCATAACAAAAGGTACAGCAAATATATCTCCAATTTACATATATAGTAAAATTTAACTTAAATACACATGAGTAGTTTCAAACACTTATATCTCAAGTATGGGAAAATATTTGAAAACATTCTTATATTTTATGATTTATGAATTGAATTGTACTGAAAATTGCTTCCCACAGAATGAGTTGCTAACTTAAAAACACCATGTTTGTCTTTCTCCATATCCATATGTAAAGAAAAAAATGAGAAAGACATTTGTCAACTCATAGAAACTAGACCATCACTCCCGACCCCTATTAGTAACGATTTAATTGGGACCTAGGCCTACAGTAATCTGACAGTCTAAGCTTACTGCTAGGCACAGCTAATTGGACTCGATAATACAGTACACTAATGGTAGTGAAAAGGCACAGTTATGTGTACAACTTCCTACCTAGCCAGAAATATTAATAAAGCCATTTTTAGAAAACAGTGATTAAATTGTCCTGACTTGTGTATAGTTGTTTTTTTTTTAGGTATGATTTATTTACTAAGTGCCTTAGTTTCATTTGGTATCTGAAATAGGAAAATTAACATGAAAATCTTGAAGCATCAAAAACAAACAAACAAACAAACATTCAGGCATCTAAAGAAAAGCTCACTTCTTTTCCTGTGCTAATGCAGCCATTGATCTCTGATATGATCCCTCTAGTCAACATCTTGAATAGTATCATTCGCGTTCTGGGATCCAACACCTATTAAGAAATGCAAAAAATAGAGAGTTTAGAAAGGTAGTACCAAATATTTCTCATTGAAGCATTTGAAAATAAACTGAAAAGCATATCTGTACCATGCTATTCTGTGTTGGCTAAATTAGAGTTGCTATTATGGTGTTTTTATTTTCTCTAATTTTTAGTAAATAAAATGTCAGATGAAGGTCAAAGGAATCAGAGACAATAAACCAACGAGTTCATTCAATCATAGAAATCAAAGGCTACCAAGTCCAAGGGAAGCAGAAACTGACTCTAGACCAACACTAGCTAACAGAAATTTAGTGCAAACTACATAAGTAATATTACATTTTTTAGTCACCACATTAAAAGAAGTAAAAGGTAACAGGTAAAATTAGTTTTATTATATTGTATTTAATCCGATACATCTAAAACACTATCATTTCAACATGTATTCATTATAAAAAAGTTATTGGAGGTTTAACATTCTGTTTTTTTACCCTAAGTCTTCAAAATCCAGTGTGTATTTACATTTATAGCACATTTCAATTCAGACCAGCCATATTTCAAGTGCTCAGTGGCCACTGTATTGGATATGCAATTTTGAACCAGGGGTCACCATCCTACACCTCAGGAGTCAAATTCAGGCCGCAGCCTGTTTTCCTACAGGCTGCAAACTAATAATTTTTAAAATAGTTGTTAAAAAAAAGAATTGTGAGTCACAGTGCTTAAAGTATTTATTCATTAGCTCTTTAAAAGAAAGAGGTTGCAGCCTCTTGCTATACATTAGTAAATCAAGGACAGGTTCTCACTCAAAGTTAGAGCCATCAATTTTGAGTAAAAAGGACCCCACAGTCCTCTTCAACAAACAGAAGGCAATGAATTAAAGCCTGCTCCTGTCCATGCCCGAAATTGATACAGCCACATATCTGTTAAGTCCAGGAGGGCCCAATCCCTAGACCCCGTAGTTTGGGAACCAGACTTCTCTCTTGCCTTTGTGTGGGAACCAGACCTTGCATCCAGGTTGGCAACACTACATGCTCACATCTCACTTCACTGGACTCTCCTCCCTTCCCCGTCAATTTACTTGCCCGAAATATTCCCAACAAAAAAGCCCACCTCAAGCCCCATATAAGTTTCAGGTCCCCTCACATTCAGGGCTGACACCATCTTCGGCTCAGCCAGGCTGTCACACTGCTACAATAAATCTGGCTTAATGCCTTCAGCCTGTGCATTCCTCCTTCGGCAAACCTAACAGTATCTACATGCAATTTCAAGGGATACCCACGGTAGCTCCTCATGGCTCAGGCAGCCCCTCTTGCTCCATGGAGTGAGCCAATGTCAAGTGGCCAAACCTAATTATATTCTAGGATCTATCCTTCAATGAGGTGGCTGTGGTCATACCAGAAACCTAAGGTTAATTAGAAACAAACGAACTTAAAAGACTGCAGGACTACTGAAGTGTCCTACAATAGATGACTGGATAAAGAAGCTGTGGTATATATATACAATGGAATATTACTCAGCCATAAGAAGAGATGAAATACTGCCATTTGCGACAACATGGATGGATCACGAGATAATCATGCTAAGCGAAATAAGCCAGACAGAAAAATTTAAAAATCACCTGATATCACTTACATGTGGGATATAAACCTATAAGCAACAAATGAACAGGACAAACAGAGACTCATGGACATGGACAATAGACTAGTGGTTACCAGAGGGGAGGGGGAAGGTAGACGGGGTAAAAAGGGTCAAATATGTGGTGACAGAAAGAAATTTAACTATGGGACGTGAACACACAGTGTAAATATATATATGCCTTACTGTTCAAGTTTCCAAAAGTGAAACTTATTGGATTTCATTAACCATCACCATAAAAAAAATAAATTAAAAAAAAAAAAAAAGACTGCAGGACTAAAACCCAAACTACAACCATTGCAACTGAAGGAGAATGAAAGGAAAGGGAGTGCATAGGCAGTAACTGCCATTCTGCCTTTACTACACAGGTAAATAGCAGGGCTGTAAGCTGGTTGAGCCTAGGACTCTAGGTAGAGACCTGTGCTTCTGCAAAACTGGTAGGTAGCCAAGATAGGGACATAGAAAGAAGCAAAGTACCAACATGGCTTAAAAACAAATTAGGGA